TCCGTACGAGCCATCTGGTTCTTGGGATTCCATTCATGTATTCGAAACTGTCGAACGAGGAAGACAGGCTCATTATAAGCTGACATCCACCGTCATGCTTCAACTCGTCACACGAAAAGGAACAGAAAACGACGTGAAAGTGCCTGCGGACAAGAAGGGGCCAGAGAACTGGAAACGGGAAGGTGAAGTTAGCTTGAGTGGGAGCATGACCCGTCAGGTACGCTACCTTTTTATCCTTTCTTGTTGATCTTTTCTGCTCTACCTGTGCGGATATACAGCATACTCAACCTGCTTATTGCCGTTGACAGGCTGAGCAAGATTGGCCACTGCATGACTCGGCATCACACATCACGAACATCGGAAAAATGATCGAGGAGATGGAGATAAAGATGAGAAATCTATTACAAGAGGTTTGTTATTTTTTATCCTCATACAAAGTCCTTTAGTGGAATCTAATATCTACACTGACAGGTATATTTCGGGAAAACACGCGATATCGTTTACGACCTGCGCAGTGTTGACGATCTCGAGAAAGCTCGAAGACAGAAAGAGTTGCAAAAGGAACTTGTGGGCTTCATCAAGCGGTGACCGGATGTGACGAGATGTATTGGAAGCCAGAACATTGAAGTGAACTGTAATATCGAACTGAGGTCGATGTCTGGAACTTGTCGTGTGTAACTGCATTGAAGGTCATGTACTTGAGATAGATAAGTGTTTGAAGAACCGTCAGCTTCGTGGATGATGACACGCGTACAACAACCGTCATCTCCGAGGCGGATGTCGATCGGGAGAGACGAAGTCTGATGGAGAACTGTTACAAACCGTTCCAATGAAGCGAACTAGTCTACACGTAGGCGCCTTTCTGTCTCCTCTAGAGCCTCCATCATCTTCTGCCGCGCATTAGAACCATCCTGCTTGACTATATCTGGATTTCTTCCAGCTCAAAAAAGACGTTGGATATTCCTTGTACGTGGATTGTTAGCGTCGTCCAACTAATTCGGCATCTGCAATCGGGTTCGAGTGAATTGTAACCTGGAAAAAAAATAAGCCAGTGTTCGAATGAGCCATATACTTGTACTTACATGGGTCAATTTGATTTCGTTCAATGGCCTGTTTTTGTTGTTGACTGGGACGCGTTCCATTGCATCCAGTGTCGAATCCGCGCCATCGATCACCTTTCCGAAGATGGTGTGTTTGCCGTCAAGATGCGGCTGCTTCGCATACGTGATGAAGAACTGTGACCTGTTCGACTCAGTGTTATTGCCTGAGTTGGCCATCGCAACAACGCCCCGGGTATTAAACTGCGAAAACAGATGCGGATCAGATCAGGAGATAAGCATGAATGCAATGCAGGCGAACCGACTTTGAGCGTTGACCTAATCTCGTCTGCAAAAGGTGCACCCCAGATGCTTTGACCACCTTTGCCTGTGCCCGTTGGGTCACCGGTCTGGACCATGAACCCTCGAATATTTCGGTGGAAAATGCAGCCATCAAAGTAACCAGATGCGCATAGTGCAAGGAAATTCTAGGTAACAGCATTCAGCACAGGTGGGAGGATGTGTGTCTGAATGACGTACTTCAGCGGCCTTGGGGGCGGCCTCACAAAATACTTCGATCTAACAGACCATCAGTTAGCTTAAGATAACGTTGTGCGGCTGTTCAGTGGTACCTTGAGGTCTCCGTGGGTAGTATGGAGAGTTACAGACTGTGCATGTGTCAGTCAGTGTATCGGCGAGATGATGGAACGGAAGACAGTACCATTTTTGTGCAGAATTAGATGTGTGACAGTCAAGTGTGAGACGTCACAGCGTGACTGGGAAGCAGAGTCACACGCACTGGATTTGAATAATATAGCCGCTTGTTATTCGCGTTCGCCCCATACTTGCTCTTCTTCACGACCATCATTCCCCCATCCCTCACATACTCATGCGCTCCCCCTCCTTGTACAGCCAGGATGACCCCATTACTGCGCCATGAAGCCGCCCCCCTCTGAGACCGACTCTGAGCGCGCTGTCCGCCTCGAGGCCGAAGCCGAGGCAAGCGGGTCTCAGAGCAAATCGACGAAGATTTGAGGGAGGAGCGCGAGCGCCTGAAGAAGTCAAAGACGGACGTAAAGGTACGACAACATTCGCAACTCACAGCGCATATATTGACCAACCTACCCGGATTTCATAGCTACTCCTGCTCGGCCAAGCCGAGAGTGGGAAGTCGACGCTCCAGAAGCAGTTTCAGCTAATGTACAAGCCAAACTCGCTTGATCAAGAGCGCCTATCTTGGAGAACTGTTATTTACTTCAACGTCGTCCATTCTCTGAAGCACATCCTCAATACTTTGGAGGCATGGGACGATGACGCCGACGATGGTGATGATACTCCGGGCCCGGAGGACGTCCGCTCCAACACTCTGGCAAGGCCAATGGTACCCGCATCGCTGATCAGCCATCGCCTTCAACATCTTTGATGGATCCCGGCGACATGCACGGTACTCCGAGTTCGACTGACCACTCTATGGCTTCTGGGAGTCGTTCTACGCCTTCCAGCTCTGGTGCAATCCAGATCGCCAATCTTCGTCGCAGGCTGTCGCCCTTGATAGCGACCGACGCCCAGCTCGCAGACCGATTGAGTGGTGGTCTCTCTGTTTCTGGCTCTGGGAAGGGCGGAGTTTACGTGCGCAGCGGATGGCAAGCTCGAACCATTGAAAATGGCATCGGAAAGGTGAAGCAGAAGCGCCCAAATACCAGCGACAAAAAGGCCCGAGAAAGTGCCTCTACTGAGATCCCTCCGGACCCCATGGTTGAAGAGATTGGTCGCTTACTGCAGGCTTGTGAGGAAGACATCCACGCACTTTGGGGTCACCCAATTGTGAAGAATATGATCGCTAAACGGCGATTGAAGCTGGACGAATGGTCCGAATTGTAGTTGCTTTGTCACTTTGTTTTGATAATATTAATGACTCCTGTATTCAGCTTCCTAAGCATATTTCTCGTGTCGCGTCGCCTGACTATGTGCCGACTACCGGTAACACTGTTTTTTGACATATTAATGCGCATATATGAACTTTCCCCACGCAGATGATATTTTACACGCTCGCATCCAAACTATGGGCGTCGCTGAGCATATATTTGATGTAAATATTCACGGGAAATCGGTCACTTGGCACCTATACGACGTGGGCGGTGCCCGTGGACAACGACATTCGTGGGTACCATACTTCGATGATGCCAATGCGATTATTTTCGTGGCCCCTGTGAGCGCCTTTGATCAGGTACGTTCGCTCGCTATTCGTTTGAAGCAACGTTCTAACTTGGGCCGTATGTTAGTACTTGGAAGAGGACCCTCGGACGAATCGGATCGACGATTCGCTCCAACTTTTCACCCAGATTTGCTCGAATGCCCTCTTAAAAAGTGTTCATCTGGTTCTTTTTCTCAGTATGTGGCCCCACGCACAATGTAACTTGATTGGTACTCATCTGATTCTCACGTTTTTCAGATAAGACTGATCTTTTGAGGTCAAAACTGGATCGAGGCCTCAAAGTTCGGAAATAGTAAGTGTACGCCCACGTGATACCACGCGTTGATTCTAACTATATCGCTTCATAGCATAACCTCCTTTGGCGAACGTTCGAACGACTACGAGACTGTTGTACAGTACTTCCGAGCACACTTTCTCCAAGTCCATAGACGGAACAACGAAAACCGAAGGGTTCTGTATACTCACTTTACCAGCGTTGTGGTGCGTTCCCTTTCATATCAAGTGGCATGTGTGTTCTCAGACTAATGTTCGGTGATTTGCAGGACACGAAAGCCACTCAGCGGTTATTGGAAACGGTAAGTTGGCTTTCTCACCTCAACATTACAAAGCACCCCGTGCTGATGGATGTCTCTATTTTAGTGCGCGACTCCATATTCAGAGGATACCTTCAATCGGCAGCGCTCGTATGATCTACCTGGCCGTATTGTATTCTTTCGAAGTTCTTGATGGCCGGTTGCCGTTGGCGCGTTCCTTTTCTTTCTTGTGTTATGAATATCCCCCAATGATGTGTGCTGTGTTGCTTTGACGCATAATATTTATTCTCTCATGATTATGCTCGTTTAATTCTTTCCTTTTTCTGTCTTTCGTCATGCACCGCTACACAGAAATTTCTTGAAACACGTCTGTCCACCAGCACAATGACGCCGTCTCGACTGTACGCGAACCTAGACGGCGCCACAGTCCTTTCTCTATGATGTCTACCGCGACGGTCGGCCGGCGTCCATTTTCGCACGAACTTGTACTAGTAACCCACACTCACTCACGTATTACTTATCGTTATTCGTCGCCACGACTACATAATTAGAGCATTCCCCACGTATTACGCTCGGTGTCAGCAATCAAATTATTGTTCCGTTCTCTCGAGCTTCAATCTCACAGCTCCGCAGTCAACCGCCATTCGTCCACATGCATACTTGGTTGGACCACTGTTCGTCACAGGAACCTCCTGGACGCAGTGTGAAGATCAATCGCCTCTTGTGATAATCACCATCCAGCCAAGTTTACCTCGTTCCACCGTGGCGGTAAAATTTGGACTCGCTAACAGTCATATCGCTGATTGCACTGACGTTGATCTTATCTATCTATCAAATTGGCGCTCGCGTCCACCCTGTCGTTGAGGCTTCCGCAAGTTCCGAGAAGGGCAAGGCAGGCACTGTCTGACCCTCCCATGCTGTGTTTTTTCAAGCTTCCCATGCCCATCTACCTTTCATCTGCAATTTTCATCAGCATCACATTGCAAATGGTATTATGAGAATGATCGACTTCCGCATCCCATGCTATACGCCTCATGGTGAGACAGGCTTGAACAACCTGATGGTTTCCCGTGAGGTGGAGATGAAATATGGAATAACAGTTGAGCCTTCGCGTCGAACTGCATCGGTACAAAAATTTGGCTCCGACTCAAACCTGAGAAAACGCCTCAAGCATATCAAGTAATATATTGCCGTCGGAAAAGAAAGAAAAATGAATGCCACGTACCCGGATTGAACGAGTGACCTTCTCATTGCATGAGCAGCTAGTGCTTACAAGTGAGACGCGCTACCACTACGCCAACGCGGCTTGATAAACATTAATTTTCTGTAATACTACACGTCGCAACCCGAATTAGTCAACTTGGCTCCATTCTCGTCTGATCCGGTAACTTGTTACCGAACTTTCCGTCGCGACGCATTCCTCTTCTCTTCATTCTGCATACGTCATTTCCCTCTACCTGTATATAGCAATGAACCAGAAAACATTTGCCCAAATTCTCCTGCTTCCCAAAGACAGCCACGTCGGTCTGATACTGAGAAAGCCAAGGATGTTCTTTGCAGTTACTTCTCATTTGACAATTTCTGGAAACGGCATTCACTTCACAAGATGGTGAATTCAATCCAATATTCCTCACAAGCGGAAGAGCCTGTGGGGTCATGGATGAATGGGCAAAGAAGATAACGAGTGAAGAGATGCTGGAATGGGTGCCGGTGATGAAGAAGGCAACCAAGGCCTGCCGTCCGAGTCAGGAGTTTAGTTCCCTGGTTGCACTAGCAATGGAAGGTCCCAGACCGTAGACTTCCCCATCCCTGTTGGAGCGATAACAACTAGATCCCCTCAGCGCCCAAGTATGAAATTCGCCGACTCTATCTGATATGGAAATCTCGACCCGGCCTTCAAAACACCTGCCTCCAGCGCAAGTTCATTCCATCTTTCCTCCGTTAGAAGTTTCATAGGTTGGACAGATAGAACTTCTCCAACGGCGAAAGCAGCGCGCGTAGGACGACCTCGGCTGGAGAGGGAATACAGCATGCATCCCGGGGCTTGAGGCGTGACCTCGTAACCATTGCGCCTCTGCTGCTTTGGCTGTCAGTCCGGAAGTGACGATGGTGCACACGTTGAGAGAGATTGAGAGCCGGAAGGTGTTGTTGGACTGGAAACAGAACGCCCGGCGTGAGGAGTGGAGCGTTGAGCGTGTTGCCTGTGATGGGTGTGAGAGGTAACTGGCGAGAGCGATGTTGACGAGTAGGGGCCAGACCACTGGGAAAGCATGTTTTCGGACATTAGAAGAGATGTAGAATAGATGGGTAGAATGCCGCCGTTGACTTCTGGATCCTCGTCCACCGTTGCGATAGCCTTGAACATCGATATGCAAAACTTCAGTCGGCCGCTCTTCGCTTTCGTCAAAGTCGATGACAAGTCTCCGATACTTTGGCCGACGTTCATACCGCCTTAGCGAGTCATTTAGCGCCTTGGCACCAATGATACACTAGCTGATGAGACAAGTCGATAAGCATTGATATCGGTCCCACAGCTTTCAGCGACATGTAGTACAAGTTCCACTGGTCAGTGCTGATGTTTCCAAGACAGGATATGACGAGTGCCACTCTTTGCCATGACAAAAATAATAAGTTTTTGGAGTTTGCGCTTTGAGACGACATCATCATGGTTTAAGGAAAGGCTGAAATTCGGAATTTACTCAGAGTCACTTCAGCTAAGTACTCCTGATCAAGTAACTCACTTTGGCAGTTCCTGAATGTGATCACGTGACCTTATGATCGCCATCGAATCCGGACAATCCGTCGACAATTCCTGCTTTTCTCCAACGATTAATCTCACAATCTCATCTACAATTAGCGCAATGTCCGACGCAAAACGAAAATTCGAAGGCGGTGACAGCAAACGGAAGAAAAAGTATAGATCTGTGAGAACACATCTCCCTACCTGTCGCCGCAGGCGTTGTAACACTTCGTGCACAAGGACGGAACACCGATCTGGGGAAAGCGACATGTGGAAGGACCTGGGGTCTGGGTGAGCTGTGCGTTCGTTATTCTTCGTGGAAGCTCCTTTTTTATTCGACGCTAGGTGTAAAAGGAAAGGAAAAGCAGACGGTTGGAGAAATCTATGAACTATTCGAATCGGTCAGCCTGCCCTTTCAATTTGGGTACTTCCTTATAACATCCCTTCAGATAGCGTCTGAAATATGGCCCATAGAGACTCCTATTGACAAAAACTCAGACGAAGAGGAGGATGATACTGGCCTCAGCTTGGAAGAACGGGTTGCAAAGGAGGTTTCGGACATGAAACGCCCTCGAAGTGGAAACCCACAACAACGTTTCGGCTAGTTTTCGTTAATGTGGATATACAGCCAACAACTGAGGTACATCTATAATTCTAGCAAATTGTCAAACAAATACCCCATGCGGTGCGTATTTTGCATTTGAATACTCTGCGTGTCTGATGACAAGTTCAGTAGTTTTTATATCTTGTAAACCACCTGTGGATCCCGTGGACTTGTAGTGCGTTACATCAAAACCGTACAAGAAACAGGCGTTACCCGTACGCGGTAAGTCAACCCGCGAAAGCTCAGTACATCGAGCGTCACATCTCCTGACCCGCCAATTTTTAGATACGTTCATCGCCTTGTTCCAGTTTCTGGAAGCTGTGTTGCAAATCTGCCGGAGATTCAGGCCCTCTGTCAAAGGATCTTTAAGGACTTCTTTGACCAGCATCCAGCTACGACTTTCAAAGTACGTTAGATATCGAGCTGCCCTATTATCTGTCTCATGTCTCAAATCTACACAGTACAAAATAGAATTGCGAATTCGGAACCACACCACCATTCCTCGTCCAACACTGATTCAGAACGTGGCCCAAAGCGTCCCCGAAGGTCACATCGTCGATCTAGAGAATCCTCAGATCTTTATATTGGTCGAGGTGTTCAAGGTCTGTCATCGATTTCTTACAATTTCAGTGTGCTAATCCGCTGAGCAGAGTATATGTGGCGTTTCCATCGTCGAGGATTATTACCAATTACACAAATTCAACGTTATGGAAATTGTCAGCAAGAAGCACCGCAGCGACGAACCAGGAGAGAGTCGAGTGTTTCAAGGTATAAAAAAGTCGGAAGAGACGAAGGAAGAGACAAAAGAAACGATCAGCGATGAAACCCCATGATGGGTTCCAATGATACATTGATTAAGAAATACATGTCGTTTCCCAGGTTTCTACAAATGCCACACTGGTTTCCCTCACATATTCTGCGATTCAGCTGGCATCTACAACCCAATCCATCTAGAAATATTAAAAGATGGCGGTATTTATGTATAAGATGAGATACTCTGCTGGCTGCCAACCATGCAAGTTATTTACCTGAGGAGGAGCTGGAGAGGCCGAAATTCAGCCGTGGGAATCCATCACCCTATAAATTCCGATTCAACGTTCTTTCTTAGGTTCTTTCAAGCGCCTGATCATGAATGGGCTTCCATGCTTCAACTCGTCGCCCAACAATCGGCGGTTCTTTCGCGAAAGGATGACGAAAGATCCTTTTCACACCAGGCCAATACCCCCATGGGTCGACTCAATGAAGGAGATGTGGATGATTCGGGTCCCAGAAGGCAGGGACAGTAGCTTCCTCTCGCTCTCAGAGAGAAAAGAACAAAATCCGGTCATCCAATGCTATATTTTCCTAGCTCGGAGCCTTTTATGCAGAGGAAATGACCTCGGGCATCACCTACTCGGCCCACTTGATGTTAGTTGGCGCGTCTCTGGCGGCACGCTCAATAGTCTGGCTTAACGTGGAGCAGACGGTTGTGGATCTGGTGTTTGATGGGCCGGTCATCGTGGTATCTGCATTCTTCAGGACTTCGCTCGTTGTCTAGCCCTTGTCTTCCTTTTCCACCGCTCAACTTGGAATTGCGCCCACAACCCGGTGCAATTGATACATATGAAAACACTGCCCTGCCATACGGAACACTAATAGAGAATGAGAAGGCAACCAGACTGGTCATGCCTACTATAACAATTAATGCTTTGATCCTCGACGATGATTCTGACGGCGGCCTAGGCTCAGGGAATATCGCATTGCACCTGAACGACCTTGTCTCACCCTGAACCCATTAGAGGGACCACCGCACTTGGTGGCAAGGCGACGACTGCGGACGAAAGTGATTCGCTGACGGTTTGCAAGGATTACCCTGAACGCGAGTAATCTCACGAAGGGACAATGCTCAGGACGGACTGTTCACGAGAATGCGAAAAATAGGATCCTAGGATGACGAACCCTTTGCCTATCCTGGACACTCGTGGAGAGATCCCGCGATATACCACCAGACATTTGCGAAGTATTGTCAGAAGATTGTCGAAAGACCACCAAGCTCTCCAAACCACGATACATAACGAACGGACTGGCGCGACTTTGTCAGAGTGTGGCTCGACGTCATAACATGTGAGTAAAGAACTTCTGCCCTTTCGACATGACGTTTTTTCTATTGAATACGATGTACTCCGTTGGTTCTGGATCATAGTTTTCTCTGGAAAGATCGGAAAGATCGCGTAAAACTTTAGGACCATCCCTCAACACTATGATGCACGACTTCTCATAGATACCCGGCTTCTCACAGATTTCGATTTGTCACATCCGCAATGGAACCTTCGTGGTTCTGAGGATGCGACAACTGAAGTCACTTCAGCGTTTAAGGCCTTGAACCTGCGAGATAAGACGTCTGGACCGGTTCCATCAACCGATACTATCACGTGAGCTGGAGTTCTTCATCTAAATACTTTCCTTCACTTTCCTTCTGCATGAAGGTAACACCCGCAAAGAGAACGTATGCGGACAGCTGGAGAAAATCCGCACCTACAATCTTCTATAATCAACGGCCGGAAAGGACGCTCTCTGCTAAGTCGCGAGTCGCCCAAAATTCCTTCGATATTTCACCAGACACAGAATCTTAAGTAACGTGGGTCAAGTTCAAAGAGTTGCTGACAGCATTCAATCAAGCCAGACCCGTCGATCTTTCGGAACATATAGCTTCATTGAATGGAAACTTGGGTTCAAAGCCATAACGGAGGGGCGTGCCGGGGACAACAGGGAGGATGCGGGCCTTTCGACACTCAATGTATGTGTCGTCCATCCACATTATAATTACGTACTATATCTACAGAGAAACGGCCGTGTCTTGTCTCCGCAGGCTGTGCCCTTCACACATGACGGTCGTTTCTGTCGGGAAATTTTCAGTCTTTCGGTCTAGAATTATCACGGTAGCACCGCTCTCAAGTCCGCTTGCAATTAAGAATCAGACACG